CCTCTCTGGCCCGGGCTCGGAGCAACGCCTCGCCGCTCCCCGCGCTCCCTCCGGCGGCGCGCAGCAGTGCGAGTGGCAATGGCAGCGGCGCGCTCCGCATAAATGACTCCCGCCTCCCGCGTCCCTCCGCCTCCTCCGGCCTCGCGGAGGCGGCCGCAGCCCGGCGCCAGCCAGGTCCTAGCGCCCCCTGCTTCCCCAGCTGTAACCTCCAGGGTCCCGTGCAGCGAAAGCGAATCTTTACCAAGGCCAAAGGAGAATGCTCTGGAGTCACGGTTTGACCCCCTTTCCTTTCCTCACAGCTGATTTGTGCTAACACATCGCCACTTCCCCACAGGCTACCCAGGCTGACACCCGCTGGTGCGAGGGAAGCGCCGGGAAGACTCATTCATCCTAGCTCTAAACGGCCTTAAGTAACTAAGCGTTTAAAGAGGTCACTTGCATGTCAACTGAAGAAATAACGTGAGATTTTCACTTCGTTAGTTCTCCATTCTTTTCAGCAGCTGTTTACTTTACACATTCTACTACCAAGACAAGCTACCACACAGGACAATAAGTCGCAGGACTCTTACAAAAGCCAACCACCATGGCTCTGAAGCCAGGTCTGTCGCCTGCTGACTTTGAAATGGGCGCTTCTGATGCGAGGCAGCACCACCGGACAGTAAAATCCTAGCGGAGGAATTGAGGAAAGCTATTTCTACGAGTTAGAAATAAGTACTATGCAAGTGGATGGACATGCTGTGCCCAGAGAATTGTTTCATTCATTTGTTGCACTGAGACTGACGAGGGCTTCTTTTTCTTCATCAGGGAAAAAGTTTCCCAACTTTTCTGAGCACGACTCTGCAACAGTGAAAGGCTTTGATGTAAAAAGGACCATAGAGGAAGTCGATATGAAATGTGCGCGCTACCTGTTACTGCATCGTGCGTGGGAGCTGCTCCAAGAAGGGAGCTCGGGTTAATCTCTTCTCGCTTCGACTTACGACCTTCCAGTCTTTTTGAAGATAAGGGGGCAGCTGGTGACTTACAGATTTTCCTAAAAAGAAAAATTAGCCCTCATGAAATAATTCAACTGACCGTGAAAGAAGTCACTATATCTCTAACTCCTATTTCGTCTTTTTTTCTCATTTCCTACCATTCTTTGCTTTTTTCTTATGACATGTTTGTAGTACTTGCTATCTTTTACCTTAAGTCTTCCTTCTATGTGTTTAAGTTAACCCATCACACATACCTCCGTTATCTGAAACATATCTGAAAATTTAAACTGTGCTCACACCTTGGAGCATAACATTTTGTGACATTTTACACACTGTATAAAATTGTGTTATACTACTGCATCCTGTGAACAAACCTAAAAAAAAAACATTATCCGCCTCCCATTGCTGGAGAAAAGTAGAGGATCAGAAGACTAAATCATTTGTGGAAGGGCACCTAGTTTCTTCATTCATCTATTTGACCAGTTAATACATCTATTCTGAGTACCTAGCGTGTACCACATCATACTGAGATGGGAGAAAGCAGAGAGAGGAGTAAGAGGGAGCTGCAACACATTAGTGGAATTCAGAAACTTGAGTAAATATGGCTCATTACTATTATTCTATTATTTATAAGTGGGAAAGCATAAGTACTATGCTTGATCCTTAGAGTATTGGTATAGTCTGGCTACTGGCCACTTGCTTCTGGACATAGCCCTTCTTCCTTCCCCAGCCACAGAGTCCAGAAAGCTCATAATCTGTCAATGCTAACTGTCCCCTGACTACCTGCATCTGTGCATAATGACACTGGTTTATCCTAGAAGCTGGTGTTTCTCAGATAGAACTAAAAGAGTTCAGTCAAGATACAAATCTCAATACACAAATAAAGGACAGTCTGCCCTTATGAATAGCGGGCGTTTGCTCTCAGGTGAGGGGAGCGCCTGTGTGACCATGATCCACAGAAAGGTGGCCACTGCACAACATATCTATTGTGTCAAATTTGAAGCATGGCCAGTGCGTTTATCTCCGGGGCTCTGGGACTGTTATTGTTTAGAGCTACAAAGGCAGCACAGCATGATTCCCTTTGAAGGCCATCTTGTCCCTGCGCTCAACTTCTGAATGAAATGAAGAGAAAACGCTGCTGCATAGGGCCTCCCCGTGCCGGGAGATCCTTTGCTCAGGATAGCAAAACTGTGCGCGAATATCACAGACTCTCTTGCCTTGTGTATGCAAGCCCTGCTTGGCACAAACAAATGTAACCTTCACTACACCGAATATGACTACAAATTGGAAAATGAGGTGGAAAGGGGAAAGAAAACCCTCTCTGGATTGTGAACCAATCCCTGGGACAGCGTATAGTTTACTCATACACACGTTCTTCCTTTTGGATGCAGTCTCAGTCATTTTGTCATTGCTGCAACAAAATACCCGATACCCAAAACTTAGAGGAGAGGTTTATTTTCGCTCACAGTTTCAAAAGTTTCAGTCCAGGGTTGGCTGGCTCAAACACAGAAAAAGTACGGAGGAAGGACCTGGCGCAGTGTCACGGCAGTCAGGAAGCAGGGAGAAACCAGGGAGGGAGATATGCTCTACCAGATCACACTCTCAGTGACTCACCTCTAACCAGGCCCCAACCCCTAATAGCACATGCAACTCATCAGTGGGTGAGTCCACTGGTGATATAGCGCCTCAATGATCCAGTCAACTTCCAAAAGCCCTGCCTCTGAATGTGTGAGAGTTCCGCCAGACATTATAGAATTAAACCTTATAGATGCATATGTATTTAAAAGGAGGAAAACCAATTCTGTTTAAAAAAAGATTTTGAAACCCTGTTCATTGGTTAAACCAAATGAATGAATATAGATTCATTCTTCTTATTGTCCATTCCTCTTGCAATTATTTTTCCAGTTCAATTTTTTTGTTTTGGTTTTTTTAGACAGGGTCTCACCATGTAGTTCAGCCTGGCCTTGTACTTATCTTGTAGTCCAGGCTCATCTCAAACTCACAACAATTTTCCTGCCTCAGCCTCCCGAGTGCTAGTATTACAGGTATGCTCCATCACACCTGGCTTCCATTTCAATTTTAGGTGTATTCTCAAAATGTGTGATTCCTAAACCTAAGTAAGTAACATCAAAGGTGTGCCTTCCTACTGATGAACAGATACACTCTTCTTGCTGCTTTGAGATCTACCTTGATAAAGTCAACAGATAGACAGAGCCCCCTTGGCCAGGAAAGAAGCATTTGGATATGGCTCAAAAGCTCCCCGCAAAAAAAAAAAAAAAAAAAAAAAAAAAAAAAAAAAAAAAAAATTAACCCAAGACCAATCATAATATCTCACGATTTTAGGTCCTGTTGGTTATGACAACCCTATTGCAAATATCTCTGCAGCCAAAGGGAGAGGTAACTGATAAGAGTAGTATTGGTTAATG